CATATAAGGTCATGCACAGCCATGCACAGCAGGTCACCTGACCATCCAATCCTTCCAGCAGGTTCCAGCACATGCCAAGGTATACCAGCTACTTCCATGTCATAAAGGCTTAGTCATGTCTCTTGACCAAGCAATGAGCTGGTGCCCTGACACAAGGGTGCCATGTGTCAGGTGGGCCATCAGCTTCATGCAGGAGCTGGTGAAGAAGTGTGTTGGAACATGATGGTGCAGATTGACTGTTGGAGGGTCTTGGAGATGTAGATTCAAGCAGGGAAGTCACCTGCTCAGCCAGCAATATAGTACAATCCTTGTCCAATGGGGTCCCCCCTGATAATGTGAATTTGATGTCCCCAGTGAGTAAGCCTTGAAGATCCTGTTGCAGATCAGGGATTGAGAGCAGTTTTACAACATACTGTTGATGAATACCAAAGCTGTTGGGCTGTGTACACCATGGCTGTACTGAAAGCATGGAATTGGTTGACTTGTCCACCTGACACAAGGATGTGTCAGGTGGGTGCACCAAGCTGAGATCAACCTGAGAAGGTGGGGGAAGGGGGGGGGGGGGGAGCATGGCCAGAGATGATCCAGGGAGTCTTCCCGAGCTCTCTCTGAGCTTGTCCCAAAATTGTGCAGGTAGTTGGCTATGATTGATCCACCTGGACCATGTCAGGTCCACAGGCACAGGCTGGTTGAGCAGCAGAACAGGAAGGTTGGCAATTGGGACATAGTGCCAATGGGCAGCTTTGGGAAGAGGAGTGGTAGCCAATTTGTCATGCAAAGGAAGTAAAGGGGTAGGTGGACTGCATATTCCTTCAAGTACCTATTAATATGGTGTTGTGTCAGGTGCGGCCACCTGACACCAGTTGTCCAACATACTGTGTCTGGATGGGAGGGACCATCCTGCAGAGAAGAGGACTCTGGCATTGTGCTGCAATGGAGTCTGGCTTTTTTTCTAGCCCAGTGGGTGGCCAATTTGAGAGTGTATTCATTGGCCTCCTCCTGATCTTCAGCAACCTGAAGATAATAGGCCGAACACTTGCATTGATGGACCAAAAGCTTTCCTCTCTCAGAAAATGCAGATCCACAGGTACAACAATATCCAAACATGATGGGTAGGGCCAGTAGATGAGACGACATGGGGGCCCCAATGCATCAACTTCTTGGTCCGGCAGTTGAGCATTGGGGGAAGGTCAGCTTGATTAGTCATATCAGTGGCACACATGTGGAGGGTGTGGAGGGAAAAGTGGGTGGCATGGCACCCACAATTGAATGAGCCCTGGCTGGACAGGCATGTGTCAGGTTATGATATCACCTGACACATGTGATGGGGATGCATGCTACAGGTGATAAGGAAAAAGTTTGTTTATGAGACATGCTCTGGCACCCTACAAATGGTGAGCAGGCCTGGTCATCCACTGCCATTTCTTTTACCCACATTCCTCCATCAGGATGAGCTCCACCCTTGGAAGCCCAGTCAACTTCACTATGCCACCTTCTTTATCCGGTGCACAGACCTTGTCACCTGCTGACAGCCTCCCTCCTCTGGGCTCCCCCCTGCCGTCATCACACTCTTCACCCAACTATCCTTCCCCATCAGCATCTCCATCCAGGATCTTGCAACAGCACGTCGCCAAGTGCAAGAGGCACAGGGAGGAGTTAGATGCAGCTGCTAAGCGCACCAAGTACCCCCCTTTTGTTCCCAAGCACCTGACATAGCTGACCTGACACTCATAGAATCGAAGGCTGCACCTTTTGCAGCAGTGGGAAACATGTTGGCAGAGCACTCACACTGTTTGGTAATGTGGAGAAAATCCTAAGAGATGGGAGGGAATGTTTTGAAGTGGAGGATGTTGAGGAAATCAATGAAGATGAGTAAGTGGCATGCCTCTGTCATGAGGCCATGAGCTGAATGACTGATTGCCCAGTGGGCATAGAGTATGAGAAAACATCAGGATATATTGCAATATGGTCCTGGTAATGCCTGAGATTGAGGATGGGCTAGTGTCATGCATGCATGGGATGTTGACTGAGCTTGCAAGTCAGGTAGGTCTGGTGAGAATTCACTTGACACATTGCTGACTCCATGGGCAGATCAAAAGCAGTGGGGCCATTGGCTGCACTGATGACACCTTGACCTGCAAGGATATAGCTATTGATCTCCTGGCAGTTGTAGAAGGCTCTGCTGCAGCTACAAAGGGACTAGATTGTTGGCAGAAACTTGAGTGAGGATACAATCATCCACTGACTGGCCAGTACTTATGTCCTGTGGAGCTAGCAGTGGAGTGGGATGATCCTCAATCAATGTAAGCCATCAATAAAAGTAGACTGGAAGGAGACTAATCAAGCTACATCAGGGTGCGGACTTGCCTGCAAGAAGGCAAGCCTATCATTTGGAAGAATGAAGCTGGCAAAGAAGAGCAAGTCAATACCAGTGAGGAGTTGTTCCTGCTATTCTTGTGTAAAGACTGGAAGTGCAACCAAGAGAGGCTTGCTCATCATTTGCTGGAAAATGAATTTGTCTTACACATGTGTGTGGGCAATACTGAGAGCACAGTGGCCACCTGACACTTGATGCAGATGGCACAGGGGATATTCATATCCCCTTCTGCTGCCACATACATGGGTCAGATCTTGAGGAGAACCAGCAAGCCAGGTAATGCCAGCTGGCACAAGATGAAAAGTATCACAATCCCAGCAATTGCATACATGGTGATGCAGGTATGATCACTGTGTCAGGTGGAATTTATGGGACACTGATGCAAGTGTAGGCCCACCTGGCTCTCTCTTCGGATGAACAATTCAATTCTTGTGGTCAAGGTAACTTCTCCTACTGCAAGTTTTACAATACTATTATCAAGGTCTTGTGGTGCAACATGTTTGCCCCACACCTGGGTCATCTGATGGAGGTCTGGAATATGTGAGATGCATTGCCCTTGGAATCACTGTAGTGCCATACTGACACAACCAATAGGCAGCTGTTTCCAGAAGAGACCCAAGCAATGCACAACTGCACCAAGGCAGGAAATGGTACAGCAGGTAAGATGTTGCATCAGCTGGGGAAAGAAAACAGGGCCCTGGTGGCAGATGGAAGAGGATGGTGAGGGAATGCAGGAAGTGGTATGGTGAGAATCCATGTACAGTAATCCTCGAGGTTAACAATGTCATTGGTGGAAGGGAATTGTGATCAGTATTGAGGGGTGATGGCTAAGCAGAGAGATGTGGTACAGGGGGTCATCTGGAGGTCTGCTATCTACAAGAACTCTGTGGCACTGGGCAAACCAGATGCAAAGTTGTGCACAGATGCCAAAAGATTTCAACGGAAGCAAATGGAAGCAAA